TTTAAGTGGGGGGTGGACCTAACATCCTCTAGGGCAGAGGTGCCCAGTATGTCGACCGCGGTCGACCGCGGGGGCAATGCTGGTAGATCGCGAGTCATTCATAAAAATAAAAAATCCAGCTCCGTTAAAATAGACAAAACAGGTTTTGATCCTATCGCTTTCCAGTCTGTTAACCCAGAATGCAAAGCGATACAAAATCAGTCAAGTGCCGGGAAAACTCAAATTAAGTTAAAGAGACAAACAACAAAATGAGTGCGGGACCGAGCAAGAAGCTAAAGACAAACCACTTCCACCCAGAATGGGAGGAAGAATATTTTGTTGTGATGTCACATTCAAAGGTTATTTGCCTTATTTGTAAAGCAAGCGTCGCTCTGCCAAAGAAAGGTAACGTGGAGAGGCATTATCGGAGTGTTCACAAGGCATAGCAGCGACTACCCTCCGAGTAGCGAGTTGAGAAAGAGAAAGGTCATGTATTATTGCTACACAAACATTATCTCACAGTCTTAGTGTCGCCAACTCGTTTCTAACATGCAAAAAGACAAACAAATGTCGGTGTATTTTCGACCTTTCCAATCGAGACGAGATCTCTCTCCCGTCTGTGCGCGAGGGGGCGGGGCAGTTTACACACACGCGGCTGCTACAAGCAGCAACACACGGAGGAGATGGCGGAGAGAAGCGCTCCAAGGTGTGGTTAAATGTTACCCGTCTTGAGGTGGACAATGCTCCTTGCCAAGAGAGTTTAGCATGTAAGGGCGGTAACACGAGCAGTGTGTCTAAACATTTAGCAAAAGTGCTCCACATCCAGACGGAGGAATGCACAGACTGTCTTTCTAGTAGCTCTGTAGCCCCATCCACGAGTAACGTTTCCACATCAGGTGTTATGTATGCTAGCAGCAACACACGGAGTTAACACAATTATACAAACATGGGTTAATGATTAGAGGAAACTGAGTTACTCTTTATTTTGTTAAAGTTTCAGCTATTCTCTTTACAGTTCTGTCATCAGATTATTTAATACGATTTTGACATTGTTGTTTCTTTTGATGTGAAATATTATTTATTTAATTTAAATAAAAAGCTATGTTAATTTAATAATATATGTATTTTTGAATCAAGTATTCATCTTTATTGTCTTCATTGTTAGTTTCCACATGCCTAAAACAACCTCAAGCTACATCTAAAAGTTGATGGCTAAATAAGAGCGTTTGAGAAATTGTGCAAGGCATAATAGTTCGAATAGTCGATTAATCGTTTCATTAATCGATAGATTAATCGATTATCAAATTAGTCGTTTGTTGCAGCCCTATTGTAGTTATCCCATGTATAAATAAAACGTGTTATTCAGCAACCCTTGCAATTTGGGATTTTATTTTTGGTTGGTAGACCTCGATGAGCTGGTCATTTCAAAAGTAGCTCACCAGCCAAAAAAGTGTGGGCACCCCTGCTCTAGGGGGGTCTGGGGGAATGCTCCCCCGGGAAGATTATTTCTTAATATTGAAGTTAAAAGCATCAATCTGGTGTACTTTGAGAGCAAAATTAAGATATTAAGATGATTAATTAAGATAATTGTAAGCAGATTTTCTTTTTCTTTTATATATTTTACAAATCACTCTCCTTTTAAATTGTATTCTTGTTTATTAATAACAACTTTTTTTTACTGTATTTTATACCTGTTTTTCATCTCTTATTTTTTTATAACTATAATGATGATATAAAGGTGTGCCTTTACCTCACTGAGCTGAGGTTATCAGAGCCTCTCAGTCTTTCAGGAGAGAGCTCTCTAAAGCTCTCCCCCCGCGGCCGCTTACACAGTAAATTCCAATGTTAATAAAAGCACACAGAAGCTGTGTACGTCTTTTGGGAGTTTGATTTATTTTGAATGAACACAAATACAAAATTAAAACCTATAAGTACACACTAAAACCATTATTTCAAAAAAAGAACTATTTCACACAAACCTCTGGGTTTTACTGGGGCTGGGGCAGTTCAACTTGATTTTGGGGGGGGGGGGGGTGCGCCATACAGTAGTTTATGGGCGCCGTACGCAGTATAGGTGTAGTTATGTTAGTGTAAGATAATAAGATGTACTTTGTTGATCCAAAATCGGGAAATTGTGTTATGACATTTTTAAAAATATATTTTTTAAATTTCTAACTTTAAAAAAAAAAAAAATCTCCCCAATTTTTGGCGCCCCCGGTGGGTTGATGCACCCTTAGCATTCGCCTATACTGCCTATGCCGAGAGCCAGCCCTGCTGCTAACACACACAAACAGATAAACCAACCAGATACGTTGGAGGCTGTGCGAGATTAACCTGACCAAGAACACTTCATGGTGAAGACAATAAAGTTGTAACAAGCAGTAGCGCTAAGCAAAGTGACTAGAGCACACACTTATATAAACACACAGCGTGCATTGGTGAACAAAGAGCCACAGCTCTCTGGAGAAGAGGACAGAGTTGGAGAAGTAGTTTTTTTATTTAATCTGGCTTCGTAGGATTAAAAGCAACACGAGCATCTACCCCACGCAGTCCGCCGTTGTTGTTGTTGTGAGCGACGTTGCCGAGAAAATGTGTGTCATTAACGATTATGTCATGATGTAGCACCACTTGGGCTCCGGGCGGTGGAAAACAAAACAAGTTCTCATTTAGTGCTGCAAGAACTGAGTTTCAGTGGAAAGGGGTATTAATAGTGAGAGAGTGAACAGAAAGAGCATAACACTCTGTTCTGACCTCCTGCTTTCTTCTCTCTGGCCGACCTGCAGACACACAGACTGATTTCCCTCAAGAACCCCCCCCCCTTGCTATGAGGCTGACGTAAAACAGTCTGTTCTGAATCTCAGTATTGCATTCATTAGTTTGAACCAATATTAATAGGCTTGGGAATCAGAATAATTCATTCAACCTTTCTGTTGAATCCAATCTCTCTTATTAGCCTTGTGATCTAAAATCAAATCTTTCCGAGAGGCTTAGACCACTTCACATTTTCCTGTGCGTGCTTAATGAGTTTGTTAGTGCAATTTATGGCTCACCAACCTTAAATGTTAACACAGAGAGAGATCAATAAAACACAAACACAGATATGGTTGAGATTCATTATTATTCAGTTGTGCAACAACAATAATCATTTGGAGTTAAGCGTCACCTTGCTTCAACAGCAACCACCAATCGCAGAAATGTCCCCCAGACTAGAAGGATCTTGTGTGCTTTATACACGTAAAACACACACGAACATACCCTTGAAACATACGTGGCAGAGATAGTTGATATGTTAATATGTTCCTGGTGTGGAAAGGTCATTATCTCATGACGTCTTTAGGAGTCTTGCAGGATATGAATGATCCAATTAACAAACTATATATATATGTTTGCACATGAACACATGTCATTTTCCACACACCAGCATCCTTATCGCTTCTTAGCTAATGCATGCTGGATATGAACCACTAACTAACAAGACTTTAACTGTATTATATCTGAGGAAGACCTCCCTTGGACTTCCTCTGACCTTGGCCAATTTACTTAACATGGGTACATCTTCTAACAATTGCGGAAGAGGCAATGGAGCCTCTCTGACCTGTGTTACCTTAATGAATAAGCCAGAAACACGCAGGGAACTTCTGATTGCATTTACGCTTCAACTATTATAAAAGCTGAATTTAATATGTTGAGATTATCCTGAAAATAAGGTCCAATATGTCCATAATGTCACAAATCCAATAGAAATGTCTTCTTGCTTTTTGGTCGGGGGAGCCCATGCCATGGTATTTTCCGGGTCGCCTGCAAAAAGACGTCATCACTACAACACTCTATTATGTTTGATATTATGCAGAATGAAAAACACTAAGAAACTGTGCTGCTGTGTGAGTGAGTGTGTGCTCTCTACAAAGGAAGGAAAGAGCTGGGTGTTTGTCCCCGGCCCACCTGTAAGAGTTCAGAGTGCAGGAAGAAGATCACACAGATCCAACAACACAGCCACACAATCAAAGCACCGACTGCTAACAAACCTGCAGCGCTTCAGCTGCTCTGATCTGTGTTTGAAAGATAAAAGGAACATCCTGGTGGTGTCGGTCGCAGCTCGCTGCAGTCCCTTCACCTCGAAGCATCTGTCTATCCAAACGTGTGTGTGTCTGCTGAGCCTAACAAACTCAGGCCTGCTCAGGATAGCTGCAGCTCTGTGTGTGTATTGAAAGCAGCATGTAGCTCCAGCTGTCCCTTCGTGCATCTGGCCCCGAGCATGTCTTTGGAAATTCATTTTTTCCTTCTAATTTGTTATTCTTTTCCAACCATACTCAATACAATAAGACCAAGTGCTACCGAGGTGTCACTGCTCCCCGGGCGCCGTGCAGAATGTACATTTCCCCTCTGGAAGGTTAAGGGATATCAAAAGAAAGAACACTTCAGGTTTCTTTCTTTCCAAAGCTCCCCCTCCCTGCATGGATCTGATCCAGCAGCGACACACTGATGGAAAGGCTGAGAGCATTCATATCAAAATGTATGTCATCAAAATAAATAGAAAAATGCAAAATCTGCAAAAAACATTCCCAAACATATCGGTTTCTTGTTTGTATTGAGACTGACAGAGAGATTTGCTGTTTTTAGCAGGTAGGGCTCATAGAGCTTCTTCTCAGTAAATATACTGAAGTACATTCAACTCTTGTGACAAGCTTGTATGTCTGACAGAATTTTAAAGAAATATCACAATTGTTGCTCATGTGTTTTCTTTCCAAGAGAGAGATGAGATGATAGATATGAGATTATCATAGGTATCATGTTAAGCATGGTCTGAATGATGTAACAGCTGGAGCAGACAGTAGAGATGTATACTGGACCTCCCAGTTCAATCCACTCTGCGCTACCCGCCTCTGACCCACTTGGTAACTACAACTGTCCGCTGCTGGCAGCACCTCAGACGGTCCACTGAATACACAACCCAAGCTTTTATACTGTATATCTAACTCCTATAACTCTTATCATCTAATAAGATGGGTTAGGTGGGAAAATGTTTGAACATTTGAAAAATCCCCTCAACTAAGAACTTCATAATCATCATATGCAGATTTGCTTTCAAAGGCCTGGTGCTTCTGTGTAGAACAACCAGAGATAGGGATTGTTCGAACATTGGAAAGACTAACAAAGACTGTTATAATGACTTTGATTAACAATAGATTCTATCAAGAAATGATATGCTTTGTTTGTTAAAGTATTTTAATTGTCCAAATCCCATGTATTAATTGATCACGGTCATAGATGATTTGTAAGATTGGGTCAGAGGTGCACGGATGTTGTTTGATGAAAGATAATCAGCTGAGATCCCATGAGATCCCATGAGATCCCATGAGATCCTCGGATCTGACGGACACTGCAGAGCGACGTCAGCACACTCTGCAGGGAGCTTCTGGAATCATGAGTAATGGGAGTTGTAAATGACCTGCTCGTTTCCAGGTGTGACTGAGGATCAGCAGACTGTGCCAGGTGATCAGGTCACATGATATCCTGGGGTCACACATTGTATGAACCGTTGTTACGGCAACAAGAGCCAGATTTATAGATGTAGAATAAGACACTTTATATCCCAGCTATTATTGCTACATGTTATTTTCAGGATCACTTTGGATTTTCAGCCATCACAATGATGTGTATCTGGCTCGTAGTATTCATCTGATGAAAGACGGCAAAGCCTTTCAGATCGTCTCATGGCAACAGGCTTTCCAATGATAGAAAACGGTATTCAACGTTTCATTTGGATCTCCTGGGCATTTGGTTTACATGTCTGCTGTTATGAAGGGTTTGGCTGCTTGCCCTGTTCCTAATATTGAACCAAGTTTGTGAAACATTATTTTCCTTGTAACACTAAGATGTAAAAGGGCTGAAAATGTAGGAATAAAACAGGTTATTACAAAAAAATGAGCCTTTTCAATTGTATAAAACAAAATAAATGGCATTCAGCCAGTGCACGACATACTGACAGAACTCATAAGCTTTTACACGACAGCTCTCTGTATTCTCTGTGCTGTGTGCAGCTGCTCAGTGAGAAGATCAGCGGGGCGGAGGGAACCAAGCTGCACCAGGACTTCGTGGAGATGGAGAGGGTGAGTCCAGAGAGTTGAAATTCAAGTTTAACAATCATCTCCTTTTTGAAGAGCATTTATCTGAGATGGTCTCGGAAAATAACTTTTTCAAAAAGACCTGATGGCGGATAATACTAACGTCTTCTTTTGGTCAGATTATTACTAAATGAGCTGCCAGCTGAAGACACATATCGGGGTGCAGAAAGGGAGTGAAAACACATATTTAAGATATAAGGATACAAAGATGTGAATAGACTTTTCTGTTATGTTTAGTTTGAGCTTTATTAACAACAATGAAGGTTTACGCAGGAAGATGGACATGTCGCTGAAACACCTTCCATCAATCTAACCAACGCTTTTACTCTGAAGGACATCAATAACACAACAAGCCTTACTGTAGCCTTCATCTGCTTTCAGTCCAGAATCAACTTAGTTGAGAAACTTCACAATCTTCATTCATGTTATAATGTATTGTATATGTATAACATATATACTAAAATATGGTCATTTTGAACCATGAACCCAGCTTAGACAAGTGAATGATTGACTGAAATGAGTGTTTAAATATCCTCCAGAACTGGAACATACTCATAACTGCAACATTTCTTCTTTTAATGTTCCTATTTGGCTCCCATTAGAAAATAGATGTGACCAACAAGTCTGTGTTTGACCTCTTGTCCAAAACAACAGAATACCTGCAGCCTAACCCAGGTAACAAATAAATATCGTATGTTATTTGTCATCTGCCACGACAACACTGCCTTGTAAAATGAATCGGGGATGAATTTGTCTCCCTCCGCAGCGTCTCGAGCCAAACTGAACATGCTGAACACCATGTCTAAGATCCGAGGGCAGGTGAAGACCACCGGGTACCCCCAGGCTGAGGGGCTGCTGGGAGACTGCATGCTGCGCCACGGACAGGATCTGGGAGAGGACTCCATCTTTGGTACCAATCATCATATTCCACAAACACCTAGATAGTGGCCGTGCTGCAGAAAGCACATCGATGGGTTTCTCATTCAAGTTCAGAGGATCTCTGTATCAGTGTCTGCTGGTTCTCCTCCTGCAGGCTGCGCTCTGACCGATATGGGGGAGGCCATGAGGCAGATGGCCCATGTGAAGGACTCCCTGGACATAAGTGTCAAACAAAACTTTATTGACCCCCTGCAGCATCTACAGGACAAGGACCTTAAAGAGATCACGGTACATAAAGACATACATGTTATTCCGTGCTTTAAAACCTTGCCCTCAAATTCTAATCCTTTTGACAGTGTTTAAAACACAGTGACTGACATCAGAATGAAACACAAAGGACTGAAGACTGTTGAAGAGCCAGCGAGGCAGTTATGTATGGACAAATGTTTATTTTGGCAAGACAGTTTTAATATTCTTCTCTAGATTTTGTTTGATTAAATGATTTATTATAATGATACAGTTTTTGTTTTGTATGTATTGATGTTTTTGGACTATGCTGAGGTTTGTGTTGGTTATTGTTTACGACAGATTTAACAGATTATAGTGCGTATGTCCAACAGTTGAAATGGCGTTGCGGCAGTAAGAGGAGCCTGCAGGGGAGGGTCGTTAAAGTTTTCGACGTGTTAGTGCACAACGTGTCAGCATGGTAGCTTGAGTCTCTTCACTAAAGGTTTGAACTTTTGGAAGTCAGAAAGAAATCTGGCCTAAGAATGTATGACTCTGGATTAACAGCCACTATAATGTGCTTCAAACTCTGATACACCTTTGGATCTTTGTTTTATGTGGGTTGGTATTTGTTTCTAGGGCTAGAGAACAATTAGGAGCCAGTTATGTATAAGACATTTGTTTGCTTGTTAACTCCTACTATTTGGATCTATACGTTTAAGTACAGTAATAACAGATAATATTAAAGGTCTTGTTATTTAAGAGCGCCCCCTACTGCATGTGTTTCAGTCCCGCTGTAGAACTGTGGAGTGGAAGCTCGCTGTTTCCAAACCATGTAACACATGTTATACATTTGGCAAAAGAAAAGGAATGGTCAAATCATTTAAATATTATTTAACCTAACCTCTTTGTGTTGCAGCACCACCTGAAGAAGCTGGAGGGCCGCCGGTTAGACTTCGACTATAAGAAGAAGCGTCAGGGGAAGATCCCAGACGAGGAGATCCGGCAGGCGGTGGAGAAGTTCGACGAGAGCAGAGAGCTGGCCGAAAGGAGCATGTTCCACTTCCTGGAGAACGACGTAAGAGAGGGGAAGCTTCTGATACATTATTATACAGTCCCAGATAATGCCATGTTCACACAAGAAGCCACAACGCATCAGTATTGTCAATTTCATCTACAAACATGAAGCTGGTCACAGCTGCAGACGAGCTACAAATCAGAGTTAACCTCATCGCTTTCAAACCGGCCCCTTACTTTCCCCCCATTGAAGAATTGAAGAGAAACGTAGGCCGGTTCTCAGAGCGAGTTAACAACAGCCTACGTCAACGAATGCTTGAGCAAAAATCCAACAGCAACTCTGCAGCGATACAGCTGATGCTGTTGTGATACTCTTAGTCACCTGTAAGAACATTACATATCACTTATACGCGGACGATATCCAGCTCCACATTTCGTTCAAACCTAGTGAGGCTTTTAGGATATCTAGGCTCTAATGGCGCATTTCCACTGCAGCACGTAGCACGGTTTAAGCGTGCCGTGCCAAACCCGGCCCGTTTTTTGTTGCGTTTCCACTAGGGGTAGCTCCGGCTAACGGGTACTTTTTCACAGTTTTTCTGGCCCTCCAAAATCGTGGTTCTTTCCGGGCCAACAACCGGGCTGAATATGCTAAACTAGTGAGAGAATCGCTGGCAACAAAATGAACATATTTGACCGTGATTTAATTGTAATACATGTTTCAAAATGATGCCGAAGTAACAACATACTGATACCGGTTAGTAAAAACCATGAATTAATGCTTTGACAAGTCTGCAGGCAGACGGCAGGCGAAAAACCTTTTAGAATGCTTGTTTTCTGAATGAAGATCGGCTAAGCAAACGCAGTATATGCTCCGACCGTCCACACTCACAACAACGGCCTATACAGACATAAATAAAGCAGCGACTGTATTCGCCATGACACAGGCAGTCTGTGGTTTGTACTTGTTTGGCTTTTGTCTAGTTTCTGAACAGATATGAGGACCTGTGAGCTCTGAGTGCTAAGAGCTAACGGCTGATGTTTTGGTTTTGTGATTCGCATTGAAGATGACGTCACGGCTCCGCCTACACTGCGTTATTATAGTTACTGCCTGTGAGACGTTGAGCGGCCCGACCAAGCAAGGAGGCAGAGGCAGAGAGTTCAAATATAACCCGGTGTGGGCATTTATTTCTCATGTGCACATAGTCACCAGCCTCAACATGACTGTCCTCCCTGAACACAGTCAGCAGCCACAAGGATCTCCCACACACTACTTGTCCACTGGCAGGGAAAACAGAGCCTAAATACACACACACTAATCAATCAACAAGACACAGGTGAGGGGGGAGGAGACAACACAGGGCCCCAGGTGAACACAATCAACAACAATGAAGCTATACAACCCGTAACGGAGGCCGAGATCTATGGGCCCAGAGATCACCTCCGTGACACTGCCCCAGTACTAAACTATAGTGGAAACGCAGCATAAAGTGAGCCTGGCCTAACAAGGCCTAACTATACCGTACTAAGCCGTGTGAGGCCCTGCAGTGAAAATGCGCCATTAGTCTGTCTTAGTGCTATTAAGGACTGGACGCCAGAAAACTTCTTACAGCTCAATGCTGATAAGACGGAGGTTCTGGTTGTTGCACCAGAAAAGGTTGTGCCCATGATTGTGCAATGTATTGGACCATATTCCTCTGCTGCCAACTCCAAACTACGTAACTTAAGGGTAATATTTGATCAATCCGTCCCGTTTGACAGCCATGTTAGGCAACTGACCAGATCTTGTTTCTTCCACCTACGAAACATTAGTAATCTGTAGTTTCAACGGCTGACCTAGAGATGATTATACATGTGTTTATTTTATCTCGCATTGACTACTGTAACGCACTTTTCACCTCTCTCAGCATGTCTGCTCTTGGTCGTCTGCAGGCAGTCCAGAATGCAGCTGCTAGACTTCTCACCCGGTCAAATAAACGGTCCCACATTACCCCAATACTCAGATCACTTCACTGGTAGCTTATAGGATCCAGTTCAAAATCCTCACTCTCACCTACAGAGCATTGCACAGTCAGACTCCTGCATATGTGTCAGGTAAGATATGCTCAGTCTACTGTCTGTCCTACTTACTCGCCTTAAGACCCGTGGTGATCGAGCATTCGAGGCCGCGACTCCTAAGCTATGGAACGCTCTGCCCACTCACCTACGGTCCGCAGACTCTGTTGAGTCCTTTAAAACTAATTTAAAGACATTCCTGTTTGGGCAGGCGTTTGGGTAACCTGTGTGCTTTTATTTTATTCTATTTTATCCAATGTTTTTATTGTGTTTTTGTGTTTTTAGCAGTTCTTAACACGTGGTTTGTGTGATCATTTATTATTTTATGATTCCTATGATGTTTTAATGTTTTGTCAAGCACTTTGTGACTTTGTCTGTGAAAAACGCTTTATAAATAAATGTTACTTACTTACTTGCTGTAGTGTGAGCACAATATTTAAGGAAAGTTAAAGGTCACCTATTATGCAAAATCCACTTTTTAATGTCTTTTCTACATGAATATGTCTCCCCTCTGTGTTAAGAGGGCTAAAAACCCTCTCTTTTCTTTTGTAACCAAATGTCTCTCAGAGGGGCGTGGGGAGGGGCTCCTTATTTTCATCTAAAGCAGGGGTAGCCAACACGGTGCCCGCGGGCACTCAGTCGCCCGCAGGGGCAACGTGAGGCGCCCGCCGGGCACGTTCTAAAAATAGCTCGCCAAGAAAATCCAAAATGTAAAAAATACACAAAACAAAAAACGAGATGTAATTAAAAGAATCTACCCCATGCAAACGAAACCTAAATCATAGCGAACTCTATCTATTTACTACAACTCTATATCTATCTAACGCCCCTCCTCCCCCCACCCCCACAATGAATATCGACCAATCACGTTCTTGCTTGATTTGTGGGACCAGCGTTGCAGTCGGGAAGAAAAGCAATGTGGCACCTCCCCGCTGATTTTCCTTCTGGCAGAATCTACACATCAGCCCCATTGAACAGCCTAGTCGTGCAGCCTATACAACACATGAGGGCCATAGTTTTACTGTGTGTGTTGTAACTTGCATATATTTATTCCACTTGACACGCACACACACGCATGGCGTCATCTCCAGGGGGGACATGTCCCCAGCACTTTTCAAAATCCCGTAACGGAGGAGCACACAGCGTGTGTGTGTGTGTGTGTGTGTGTGTGTGTGTGTGTGTGTGTGTGTGTGTGTGTGTGTGTGTGTGTGTGTGTGTGTGTGTGTGTGTGTGTGTGTGTGTGTGTGTGTGTGTGTGTGTGTGTGTGTGTGTGTGTGTGTGTGTGTGTGTGTGTGTGTGTGTGTGTGTGTGTGTGTGTGTGTGTGTGTGTGTGTGTGTGTGTGTGTGTGTGTGTGTGTGTGTGTGTGTGTGTGTGTGTGTGTGTGTGTGTGTGTATGTGTGGCCTAGCATTACTATACTTGTGGGGACCTAAATCTGTTTACACAGTCACGTGTGGGGACTCGCCTCCCTTATGGGGACAAATTGGAGGTCCCCATGAGGGGAGTCATTAATTTTAGGGTGAAGACTTGGTTAGGTTTAGGGTAAGGGTTAGGCATGTGTTGGTTATGGTTAAGGTTAGGATAAGTCTCCAGGAAATGCATGTAAGTCAATGTAATGTCCCCTGAAGTGATGTTTACATGGTGTGTGTGTGTGTGTGTGTGTGTGTAGGTGGAGCAGGTCAGTCAGCTGGCAGCTCTGGTGGAGGCGGCCCTGCAGTACCACAGGCGGTCGGAGGAGACCCTGCAGCAGCTCAGAGGGAGGCTGCAGGAGAGGTGAGAGCGATCACTCTTCACTCTGCTCTGTACTCACAGAGGTCGGGACAGTGAAAGCATCAAGTCAGCAGCACATTCACAAACTGCGGTGTAAATGAATGAATGTTCTAAATGTGGGAAAGGTTCACCATTGCCAAAGAGATACCTGCTGTTGTTGGTTTGTTGTTTTGCAAAATGCATGAGCTGGTCCACCAATCCAAAGCTGTGTAGAGTTGCTTCAAATCACAGTTATTTCAAAGTCAATATTATGTATAACAAAAAAAGCCTTTCATGTTCTTAATCCGTAATGCCTTTCTCTTCGCCTGATGAAACATTCTGCTTCCTGCCCCCCTCCCCCCCCCCAAAGAATATCCACAGCCAGCAGCCGCAGCAGGAGAGAGTTCAGGTGTAGGTCGATGAGGAGCAGCGTGGGGGTCAGCAGTCAGCAGGGCGGCCTGAAACCCACCGGTACACCCTCTCTCTTTAAGCCAATCACAAGGGAGGGGTTCCTTTAAACAGTATCAGGTGGTAGGGGTGCCATCCTTAGTTCTAGTTTTATTTTATTTATTTTTAGCTGTTATGCCTCATTGTGTGTGCTCTACTTCATTTCATATTGATCACTGTCCTATCCAGATATTTCTCTTCCATCACCAGAGGTGTGTGTGTGTGTGTGTGTGTGTGTGTGTGTGTGTGTGTGTGTGTGTGTGTGTGTGTGTGTGTGTGTGTGTGTGTGTGTGTGTGTGTGTGTGTGTGTGGTGTGTGTGTGTGTGTGTTGTGTGTGTGTGTGTGTGTGTGTGTGTGTGTGTGTGTGTGTGTGTGTGTGTGTGTGTGTGTGTGTGTGTGTGTGTGTGTGTGTGTGTGGGTGTGTCATTGTGGTCTGGTGCTCAACACCATCTCCATCTGTGTTTACATCTCACCCAGCTGACATCACCTCTGTTCCACTGTCATGGCCTGAGACCCCCACTGCCAATGGCTTTATTCACCGTGAGTAACACACACACACACACAAACACACACAGTTTTCTCCCTTCTTTAAATGAATCCTGCATCAACGTGTTTCAACTCCTCACATGTGAGGGAGGGGATCAATCCGGCCGTTTCACAGAGCCATAGTTCATTCATCATCTTACAAACCATAATTGACCATAGGGTAACTTCCTATCATTTTCCAGAGCTTTAATTCATGGAGTTTTCTCAGTTGTCGTGGAGATGTTTTAGTACTGATTAATGAGCCCTCCACTCACCTACTAGTTTTTCATTGACTTTTAAAAGTATGTAATGGTCTCCATCAGTGAGTTTGCTCAATTATCGTGCTGATTGCAAAACAAATCTTTAAAGAAAAATGTCAATAAAATCTAAGCAGCATTGGTTATCTGTGTTGAAGAACTCATAAGTTTGCACCGCTGCTTTTCTGAAAAGTTCAGTTATTTTCTACTGAAGGCGCTCGGAGCAGCTGTGCAAGAACGATGGAGCGCTCAGAAAAAGCTGCTGCGTGCAGGGCTTTTACTAAAGGTTGCCACAGACCAGAGTCCTGCATCGGGTCGGGTACCCGACGGGTAACCCGCAAAAAAGGTGATTCGCGGGTGGTATTTTTTCAAACGCTTTTTCCCGGGTTCGGTTCTGGGTAAAACAAAGATGATGCGGGTCGGGTCGCGGGTATTGCATAATAAATATATTAAAATAATAATAATAAATTAGTTTAATGTTTAAAATCCTCAGACCTCTCCCCCGCGGGACCGCGCATAATCATAACCTCTGCAGCGCATCAATCTGCTGCTGAGCACGCCACATTCGAAATGGCTGAGGTGAAGCTCTCTAGTGGAGAATACAGCATTTTCAATAACACTTCCTCAAGAGCGAAATCCAACGTCTGGGAGGCTTTGGTGTCATCCTAGATGGAGAAAATAACCAACATCCCACGCTTTTTGAGACAAATATGCAACTGCATGTGTTAATAATTGCACGTTTTCACTGCTCATATATATGCGGGTTCGGGTCGGGTTGCGGATCTTGTGCCGACGGGTCGGGTCGGGTTGCGGAACTAATTGGCAATATGTGCGGGTAGCGGGGCGGGTTCGGTATTGCACGTCGCGGGTGCGGGGCGGGAGCGGGTCTTGAAAATCAGACCCATGCTGGACTCTGCCACAGAGTATGATCCATCCGCTTTTAAACTATTTCAAAAAGACACTGGTGCTCAGAAAAAAGGTGCTATGTGGACACAGGCAATTAGGCACTATTTAAACGATAAAACGGCAACCATGCGAGAGCAACCCAGACCTGGGGCCTCATTTATAAAGCCTTGCGTAGGATACACGTGGGAAGGTTGCTTACGTAGGACAAAGCAAATAAATACGCAGACATTTTCAGATTTATAAAACACTGCGGCGTAGGACGTGTGTGCACGTCCTACGCCGGTTTCCCTTTATAAATCACAATCAACTCGAAATGCGGCGCAGCTTTTGCGGGCTTCACGTAACGCCCATATTTGCCTATAAATAGTAAAAACAAAAACAAATAGTCAAAGAAACGCCCCGTATTAATATTCATTCAGACTGACTGCAGGAAGAAGATCGCAGGAAATGAAGACAGAACAGCTAAAAAGCACTTCTCACACCGTGGTTGCGGTCCAATAGTCCATTTAGCTTAGGAACCTTCCTAACCAAGTGAAATGACCCGGAAGTCCCTCAGTGGCAGCCATGATAAGTGCCGTTCCAATTCTCCAAATGAAAGGAAAGGAGGTTTCAAACTTCCTTTATAACCTCCTTTAGCTTAGGAACCACTGGACCTCCCTTGACGAAAGGAGAGGAGAAAATGCTGCCCCACAATGCATTGCAGCCGCAGCATTTGCCGTCACTCAACAGTCGGCCGTTCACGGAAACAACCGATTATGACGGAGAAATGATATCATGAAAGTTACGGTGCTTATTAAGCATTTTAAAACGTATGTGGTAAGTTGCCAAAGTGCTTTGTTTTGAACGTTCATCAGTATTATAATCAAAAAGAGAAATATGAACGTTAGTTTTTACTGAAATGATCAAATAAAGTCAACATCTCTCAGTCTTTACTGAGCTGTGTGGAGTTTGTTCAACTTTTAAAAGATGTTTGAATGGTGATATACACAGTGATAGATGTTAAGGACTAACGTTTATAATAAATACATTTGTATTGATTTTAAGATCTTTTCATAGTTCATACAATCATACGTATTGGGATCATTTGTATTAATGTGGACCGGAGGGAGAGGGTGACGAGCAGAAGTTTCACTTTCCTTTTTTATTTCAATTCCAACTTTGGTCATGAAGAATATGTTTCTCTGTTGTCCACGTTCATAAAGCATAAAGCAACAGCATCAGAGCACGGTGCAGAGTCTCTAGATGAGTTTACAGTAGTCCCTCGTTCTTATTAAACATCCATGTTGTAGTCCGCTGTATAGAAAACTGTAGTTTCCATAGTTTCCCCACAGCAGCAGACGCACATTCATGACGTCCGCTGGCACATCATAAACACGTCGGATAGTGAAAGTGCATTCGTATTCTCTAAAGTACCGCGGTCTCTTCTCCTAAATCCTTTTGAATTCTCCTATCCACTATCCCTTAACCCCGTGACGTTTCACTCAGAGGTCAAGGAATATGAGATAGGGTTAGAATTTAGGAGCTGAGTTTTGGATTATTGGAACGCAACCCGTGTCAGATTTTGGTTCTTTTGGGAAGGTAGAGACGAATCATATTGTTTGGTGGATGCAGGTTGAACCAGAGTAGCAGCATGGAGGTCGGATCGTCACCAACATAAATAAATAAGTGGTCCGAAAAAAGTTAATGACAAAATACACTTAACCTTCCTCAGGCAGTGTGTCAGTGTGTTTGTGTCGGGGATGGCCAATGGTGTCGCAGCACGGGTCAGTGTCCGTGGAGGACCGCACATTTTCCCGTCAAGTTTGTTTTTTATAAATCACAAACATTGCTTAGAAAACGGCGTATGCCGAGCGTACGCACCGTTTATAAATGAGGCCCCTGGGGAGTAAAGTGGGGGGGCCTTCAACGCGTCTAGCCCGCTTACTTCCAGCAACCTTGCTTGAATCACACTGCTCTTTGAAACTAGGCCTTTATTTTGATCTCAAAAAACACCTGTAGAGTTGTGTCCCTTTATCTTGCAGGGTTGTAAAACGTTCATGTAGACGAATGGGACGCTGACAGATGGATAGACAATATGTTGTAATATAGACATATTACAACATCTTCTCCATTGCTTCCCCATACTGCAGGGGTCTCCAGAAGCACATTATTTATAATGACCCACACAGACCCACAGGTGAAATGGTGTAGCAGCTGCTATAGAATTTCTTGATAATGAAAGTAATCACTGCAGCCTTTAGCATTACTCCCTGCAGAAACAGCGTCTCTTCTCATGTGCATGAATGATTTTGTGTCTCTGTGGTGCAGAGTCGGAGCTGCTGGACCAGCCGTGCTGCCGCTCTCTCTACGGCTTTGAGCCGGAGAACCAGGGGGAGCTGGGCTTCAAGGAGGGCGACATCATCATCCTCGCCAACCAGATAGACGAGAACTGGTATGAGGGCATGATCCACGGCGAGTCAGGTTTTTTCCCCATCAGCTACGTGGAGGTCCTTGTCCCCCTGCCTCAGTGAGGGCTCCCCGTCCTCAGACTCCTACTATCACAGCGGCCTCGGCCCTCAACAGGACTCAGGCCGAAGGAAACAGGACCAGCTCAATCAGGGCTGAAAAGAAGGGGTAGCAGTTTTGTCCCAACATTGTGTTCTCTGTTTATATTTATGAACCTGAAGACAACTGAACTCTAAGACATGAGCGGGACACGACCTGGGTTTTGATCTGACCGAGAAGTCTAGTATCCCATCAGTCCTCTCTGATGACGCTGCTTCCCGTTGGTGCTGATCAGAGTTTATGTCGTGGCTGTGTGCCTCTCCTCTGCTGGATCTCTCCTCTAGTTAATGGTTGAGATCGGTAACACGGTGACGGTGCTAAAAGAAGTCAGACGGGTCCCGAAACCATTCACTTTGAATGGGGTGACGTCACACTTTGCCGAACTGCATTGTGGTTCCGTCGCATCGCTTTGCCTCCGTTGCTCGCTTCGAACGTTGAGAAAAGTAAAACTTTTCAAGCGTAGACGGAAGCGCCAGCCAATCAAATCATATGCCAGTACAAGCTCTAGCCAATCAAACCGCGTGCTTGTATGTCCGGGGCGGGAGATTAATGTGATTGGTTGTTGGTCGCACCCAGACACGCCCACCGGCAAGCTTCAACGCGACGCTGCCGTGTGGACGTACCGTAAGACGGCTGATGGGGCTTCACTAACCAATGTGGGTCATTCAGCCCAGAGTAGAATACCTGCATGTGTGAGGTGTGGTCTGTGGTGATGAACCCAGAGAATCATCACCAATCATCCTCTGCAGTTCCCCTCTGCTCTATATATAGATAGATACTTCATTCCTTCTGGAAGTATTCTTTTATTTATTCTACTAAAATCATACAAAAACAAAAACGTATAATTCATACACACAAATGAACAAAATTAGTAGAAGCGGGAGGGCTGAAGCATAGCTTATGGGGAGTAGCCCTCCCGTGCATCATCATTGGCATCAATATAACAATGGCATTTATTTCGTCAAAAACGTATAGAAATTAAGGAGTACAAAGAAATAAAGAAAACTAATGAAAACTGGAGAAAAATAAATAAATAAAATAGAAGTTAGGGTAAGAAAAAAGTAAATGCATATATAAATAATACTGGGAATATCCAATATTTGTTAGCTGGAGTAATCTGCAAATATAATTGTTTTTACTTTAGTTTTGAATTGTTGATGACTAGTAATACTTGAGAGGTCTGGGTGAAGTCCATTCCACGTTCTAACTCCGATTATGGATAAGCTGTGTGATGTGATGGTTGTTCTACAGGGCTTGCTACACAACCAGTTAGGATGCCTGGTTGGGTATTTCCTGACTGTGGTTTGGAACTGCTTTTGAATGTTAGTTGGCATTTTTTTATGTTGTGCATAATCAGTACTGTTTTAAGCTTAACTATATCAACACATTTGAATAGATTGAGTTTCTTTAAATATGGGAGTTGTGTGCTCATATTTACCAACACCACAGACTATTCGTAATACTTTTTTTTAGATGTTATTATTTTTTGTAGATTTGTTGAGTACGTGTTTCCCCATATTTCGGAGCAGTAGTAAAGGTAAGGGAGAAATAGACTGTTATAAAGAGTTCTGAGTATTTTTTCCTCGAGAATGTTCTTAGTATGATACAAAATACCTATTGTTTTTGACAGTTTTGTTTGTACATAATTTATATGGTGCTTCCAGTTGAGTTTTTCATCAACAATGAGTCCTAAAAATGTACATGCACCAACTTTTTATATCTCTGTATTGCAAATCCGTATAATGCAGTCATTTCTACTCTCAGACTTTGTATTGAATAACATGTCATTTGTTTTGGCCACATTAAGGGATAATTTATTAACTGCAAACCAGTTACATAGTATTTCTAATTCTGCATTAACAATTTTAACAAGATCACCAAGATTATGATGGGAGCAGAGAATGGTGGTATCATCGGCAAACAAAATGATTTTTAACATGTCGGAGGTGTTGATAATGTCATTAATATAAATCAGGAACAGTTTTGGACCTAAGATTGATCCTTGAGGGACTCCACATGATATAGGAAGATTGTTTGATTTCGCCTCGTCTATGTCCACATATTGTAGCCTATTTATCAGATAACTCTTGACCCATTCTTTGGCTTGACCCCTTATGCTATAATGTTCTAATTTGTGTAGCAGTATGGTATGGTTCACAGTATCTAAAGCCTTTTTAAGGTCAATGAATATACCAGCTGTAATCATTTTTTTCTCAATGTTGTTGGTAATTTCTTCAACCAGTTCAATTACTGCTGAAGAAGTAGGGTGATTTTTCTGAAATCCATATTGGCTGGGGCATAGTATATTAAATTTGCTGAGGAAAGACTCCAGACGGTTGTTAAAGAGTTTTTCCAGGATGTTTGAGAATTGTGGTAGTTAACAAATGGGTCTATAATTATTCAAACTTGATTTATCACCAGATTTGAAAACCGGAATCACCTTCGCGATTTTCATTTCATTGGGAAAATACCTTGTTGGAACGATTTATTGCATATATTTACTAGGAGGCAGGCTTGGATTTTTGTCATTTTAGGGGCAAGGCCATTTGGCCTTTGGTGTCACACATTTTTTCAGGGCGGAAAGGCCACATGCCAGGGCACAAAGGCCATTGAGGGAAAAATTAGGATTTGGAGCTTAAAAATAAATAACTTCACTTTCTAATGACAAAAAACAAATCACTTTTTTAATATCAATAATCGTATCATCATATACGCCTATGCCTCCTTAGTATTAACGTATCTACAATTAAATACTTTACTTTGAATAATTAGTGTTTGGTATGTTTTCCATCTATACTACTCCCATTCACAAATCCGAAATGAAATCTAAAAATCTAAAATTCTATTAATATGTAACAAATATATTCAATTTCAGAGCAGAAGAAACAGCCTTCAAGGATCAAACTCTGCACATACATCATTCAGCAGTGCACAGTGAAGCTCCAACATCCAACTGTATGAACAAGCAATACTTTGAAATGCAAAAGTGTGTGCGTGCGTGCGTGTGTCTCTTTAATCAGCTCCTCATATCTGTTCAGAAACTGGACAAAAGTTAAAGATGTACAAACCACAGACTGTCTGTGTCATGACGAATACAGTCGCTGCTTTAATTCTGTCTTTAGGACGTTGTTGTGAGTGTGGACGGAGCAGCTACAACGTTAGTTTAGCCTGATCGATCCAATCTCCATTCACAAAACACGCATTTTAAAAGGTTTTTCGCATGCCGTCTTGTCTGCACACTTGTCAAAGCATTAAAGCATGTTTTTTACTAATCGTTATCAGTATTTAGTTACTTCGGCATCATTTTGAAACGTGTATTACAATGAAATCACGGTAAAAATAGGTTCATTTGGTCGTAGTTGGTTTCCACCACAGTATTCACATGGATATAAGCCCCGCCCCCGCTCCAGCGCGTCCTGTTTGAATGACAGGAGTAAACACAGCTGACAGCCGCGGTGAAACTCCAGCGGTTAGAGCAATGCGAGTATTCGCATCCCGTCCATTGTGAACGCAGCATAATGCAGTTCAGAAACCACTGTTCTGACGCTTTTAAAGCAACTTTTAACAGTGTGAGGGGCCCAAAGGCCATGGTGGCCGTAGGACGTACAATTATTTGTGGGGAATAACGGCCAGACCGAGGGGCTACAACGGCCATGGCCGTCATGGCCGCCGTGAAAATCCCACCCTGCTAGGAGGGCTACAATGTTTGGTGCAACTTGTTTAACAATATTCATACTAAGTCCTAAATAATCTTTGGACTGTTTACTGTGTTGAGTATTAACAATATCAAGCAGTTCATTTTCTGTAATTGGGTTCAGGAACATACTCTGTTGGTTGCAGTTTTTCAGAAAATCATCCACTTTACATGAAGTTGGGCTGATTTTACTCGCCAGATTGGGGCCAATTTCAGTAAAGAACTCATTAAAGCTATTTGCAACATCCGTTAGGGTTTTTCCTGCGGTTTGGAATTTCTTGAATTCATTTCTGTTGTCAGTTATTTTCTTCTTAATTATGCTATTTATTACCTTCCAAGTGGTTTTCATATCTCCTATGGCATTTTCTAATTTTTCAGAGAAGTGTCGTTTTTCACAGTTTCTAAGGATTGTAGTCAATTTGTGGTAACACTTTATATTAAGGTACACAAATTAACCATCAACTTGTTAATTAACATGCATATTAGCAGTATATTGGCCCTTTATTAGTCATTATAAAACACTTATTAATGCCTTATTCTACATGACCATATTCTACAAGTAATAAGCCATTAGTTGAGAGTTTTTCCTCAATAACCCTCTAATTTTTTTTAAATATAAACGAAATTATACATAAGTTACACTAAATGTTAATATGTTAATTGACAGGCTAGGCCTGTGCAGGTGGTAACAGCTATGCCCAGCATGGGCTAAGTTCTGTAGGTGCAGCTGGTGCAGGTCCTCCTCCCTCAGGCCTGGTCCTCCTCCATCAGGCCTGGTCCTCCTCCATCAGGCCTTGTCCTCATCGCTGGGAAAGACCCTCAGCCCTCTCTGGCCAAACCAACAGACAGGACGTTCATAAAGCTGAGGTTTCCCCCAAAGTCTCTAATCATCCATCCTGTGAATATGAGAGGGGAACAAATAGTGTAATAGATGCTTTGGACAATAAGAAATATAAAGTTAACTGTTGAGTTGCTCAGTTTTTTAGATTGACAGGGTTTAATAACACAAACAAAAGGAGAGGCACCGTAACATAAAGATTGGTCTTTCAATAAATTGTGTTGATTTTGTCTTTTGAATTGTTTGTCTAAAGTCAAGTAGCTAGAACTGTTACTTATAGTTTGAATGATACAGTCTGGTTATAATGTTTGGAGGAGGCATCACAGGTCAGGTGTTGTTCCATCCACAACAAATGCACACAGATTGATGTGTGTGTATTTATGTATCTACTATTTCTTTAATCATTCCTGTCAGTCCAAAACAAGAGAATTTGTTTTATTAACATGTTTTTAAAACATTATCTCTTTTCCACTACACTATCTTGAATATTTTTGTTATTACATCTCTACATTTATCTAACAGCTTTAACATTGTAAAGGTGTCCCTTTGGACTCTGGGTAATTATGACAGCATGTCCTACTATTTTGAGAGTTTGAACAAACCAGACCTGCATCTATTAATGTAGAAAATAGTCAGCACATTAAACCATTATGAAAATAATCATTAGTTAGCTCATTGTTCAAAATGAGCTCCAACTACACACAGTTAAGTCAACTCTTGCATCGGTAATAACAATACAACAAATGATATAATAGTATAACTTGTGTCTACTTTAAATACTTTAACAACACTTTCCTAATTATACTAGCATACTTTTACTAAAGTAACATTAACATGTTTAAATGCAGGGCTTTTGTAAGAGAGTATTTGTATAGTGTAGCATGGTCTACTTGACTTATCTAACCGAAGTGATCGTAACGTTACTTTGCAAACCGTCACCCCCCCCCCCCCCCACACACACACACAAAAGGCAACCCAGTCTCATGGCATTTCGTGTTCACCAACACGATTTTTAATCTATTGATTCGTGTTCACCAACACGATTTCCCCCTTTTTTTCGTGTTGCACAGCACGATTTTAAAAGCAATGTATTTCTACTGGTAATGTGTTTCTTGCCTGCAGCACGTCTTTTTCTCTGGTCGGGTCGTGGAAGACCGGAAGCTGTGTGGTTTATAAAAACATGTTCTTACTCAATATCAAGCCACAATTATTGCTTTTATTTTAAATCGTATAATTTCTGACTTTTGTTGCCGTCTGTGAGGAAAATAAATGGGGCTCAGAGCCTCAGAATACTGAAATCTGTATTTTTTTAAATCTTTTTTTCCTTCAAATTTGTTATTCTTTTCAAAATAACACACTGTTATTTACTCACCAATAACACACAATTATCCTTACTTTTATTTATTGGTTTAATTCCATAATCTCTGGCTTTTTTGGCGTCTGTCAGGAACTGAATTTCAAAATGAAAATAACCGGAAACAGACGTAGGCATTTCGAGCGATTACCCAAGATCCTCAGCTATGGTTTAAGCTCGCTGATTGGATATTTTAGCCGCAATGCATGCTGGGATTTGGTGTTTATATGATATGAAATCCGGAAAACATTTTAAAATAATAAAATAAAACTTAATTCCGAGTGTTCTTGCTTTTCTCTTTGAAATTGAAGATTATTATCATCTGATATTTAAGAAGTGTGTTACATTTGAAATGGCAGAAAGTCTTGTTGCAAATTCCAGATAGATATTGAAAGAGGTCCTTTGGGTTTCTCTGGTGGTTATCAATAGTAGCAGTTAAGTGAATACTGTTCAAACAAATACCTGTGTTTGTGTTTTATATTGATTTCTCTGTTTTATCCTTTCATAAATGTAAGGACTAAAAATGGCTAAACATTCTGGGCTGGTTGGAGTAAACAGGGTTTTATTGCTCTGTGGGGGAGGTGTATGTATGCAGGACAGGGGGGGCTCGGTGGATGAGAGTATATTCTGCTTAAGATCTCTAGCATGTCATGTTTCAGGGAAGTCTACATGTCTTGAATAGTATATGTGTGGGTTTAATTAATAAGCAGTCTGTGTAACCAGAAGTTGGAGATATGAGGGATGAAATCTTTGTGTTATCTTTGTGAGAGAAATGTATGTGCTTTAATTTCAGGACTCCTAAAGGAGCAGGAGAATTGAGTCACACACAATTAGAGAAACAATGGTCCTTGTCATTCTGGGTGAGCTGATTATGGGTGAATGGAAGAGATGGCCTGGGGCTATGGAGACAGTTAGGCGTTGTTGGTGAGCTGGTCCTGAGGATGCCATGGGATGATGACTGTTACAGTTCCAACAAAGTATGGCTTTCATAAAGAAACACATGACTTGTGTGATAAGGTGTTTTGTTGCAAAGTGAGCCTGTTTGGTTTTCTGCTGACCAGCTGACCTAACCCCTCCTTCTTATTATGGTATATCTCCTGTCGATTCCTGGCGTTCGCTCTCTCTTCACATGCTGTCGGGACCGGAAGGATCTCCGCAGCACGCGAACCAGGGCAGGAGTGGGCCGGCATACTCCTTACACATTACAATATAATTGTAGTATATTATATTGTATTGTAATGTATTATATTGCATTGCATTATTGCCTTTGATAATTAAAACAGATTATTGTTTCAACTGGTATCCGGGTGTTCTCTGTCTGATTTCCTTCCTGTTATGATTTTAAGCAGGACTCGTCAAAACGACACGCGGAGCAGAGTGGGGTTGTAAAAACCTCAAAACTCCAACAAAAGTCATCACATAACGGCATTGTAATACACGGTTCGGCTGCATTACATATTACAGATCTGCCGTAGTTCTTTATTTATAGAGCCCTGATGAGAAGACCTTTGGACAAACTGGAAGAAATGCCGCCGAAACTGAATACTTGACGTGGATCATAAATATATCAACAATTAAAAAACATCTTCAATTTCTCTTCACACAATACGTCTCCTTGCAGTATCAACACTAATTCGGCTGACTTTTACATTGGATCTAATTCATAGATAGGTTATATTTAATTTACACCATAACGGTGCACAGCTGATATAAAAGGACTTGTAGTTTTTAAAGATATTACTGATTTTCTTTGAATATAAGAATGTAAATACTGAGTTTGAAATAGTATAGCAATATGCTGTAAAATTATGTGATGCATGAATAAAACTACACATCTTCAGATGTTGTACATACATAAGTTTCCTACACTAATAATACAAAGTTATTATGGCTGTGTGTACCTTGTGTGCACCGCCTAGTGGTTAAAGCACGTTATTGAATTATTGTTTTTATGTGTTATATTTGATTAAAATAATATTAAGAGTACATACTTTCATAGGAGGAAAGTAGAAGGTCTGTGATAGAAATATAGAATATAAAAAATCAAGAAGATACTATAAGTGATCTCTACAATAAAACAGTTTAGTGCAGGATGTACAAAGATATTAATAGGAGGAGGTGCAAAACAGAAAAACAAATTAACCTTTATTTAAACATTAAATAATACTTTAGATTAAGGTCTTCTTTTAAATAAGAAAAAAGCTTTGGGGGTATCTACAGATAAATATTAAGCCTGACAAAGTACTTAACGTCTAATATATTGTTTTCCTGCAATGTTAACTATGTTGAAGCACTTATTTTAACTGATATTATACATATGAATTATACTCTTATGTATGTAGATAGTATAAGAAATGTGCAGAATATGACAGTTTAATGGTGGAGGTATACACACATATTGATAGATGTCTTGTAATGCACTGTTGAGGAACCTGTGACCCAAGATTTTCATTCATTGCATACACCGTAGTTGTGTATATGATATGTCAATACACCTTTGAAAATCTTGAAATCTTGAAAGGGATGTGCAAAATAGCCATAATATACAGTCTTTAATTAACTATTAGTAGAGAATAACGAGTAATGAATATACTTTATTACTCGTTTCCATTCATGTCAATTGCAGATAAATGTTTGGTCTTCTCAAGCACCAACTATCAAATATCTCTCCTGATTGTTGGCACTTGACAATCACCTTCCCTGAATTTTACTCAGGTGTAACTAAAGTCTGATTTAAGGGTTGTTTATATTTCACATCATTAATCAGAATCTGCAAAGTAACTCAAATAAATGTAGTGGAGTAAAAATACCAGGTTAACCTCTGAATTGTAGTGGAGTAGAATTACAAAGTAACAATGAGCTGTCATATATATAGTGTCTGGGTGTGACCCTAGATAACAACCTGTCCTTCACTGCAAACATCGCTGCTACAACCCGTTGCTGCAGATACACGCTTTACAACATCAGGAAGATACGTCCCCAGCTGACTCAGAAAGCGACTCAGGTTCTGGTCCAGGCTCTCGTCATCTCACGCCTAGACTACTGCAACTCCCTCCTGGCTGGTCTACCTGCATGTGCCATCCGACCTCTGCAGCTCATCCAGAATGCAGCGGCTCGTCTGGTCTTCAACCTTCCTAAATTCTCCCACACCACTCCGCTCCTCCGCTCCCTTCACTGGCTTCCGGTAACTGCTAGAATCCACTTCAAGACACTGGTACTTGCTTACCATGCTGCGAATGGATCTGGCCCTTCCTACATCCAGGACATGGTTAAACCGTACACCCCAGCGCGTGCAATACGCTCTGCATCAGCCAAACGACTCGTTGCGCCCTCGCTGCGAGGCGGACCCAAGTTCCCATCGGCCAAAACACGTGGGTTTGCTGTCCTGGCTCCAAGATGGTGGAATGAGCTCCCCATTGACATCAGGACGGCAGATAGCTTGCACATCTTCCGGCGCAAACTGATAACTCATCTCTTTCGACTCCACTTCGAGCGTTAGAACTATTAACGAAGCACTTTTATACTAATAAAGGACTGGCTTACCTAAAGCCAGTTGAGTAGCACTTGAAATGTTTGGCTCTATGAAACCTGATGTACTTATATGATTCTGTTTTCTTCAAGGTTGTGTCTTCCTGGTCGAATGTACTTATTGTAAGTTGCTTTGGATAAAAGCGTCAGCTAAATGCAATGTAATGTAATATATTAATGCTGCGCATTATGGACACAAGCGATTTTCACCCATTTATTAATTATATGTTTTACATTTGATAACACCAATGTGTTTAATACTGGCAACTTCTAATTGTGGGAAAAACGAAAACGTTCAGTAGAGACGTCCCATAGAACATTTTGCGAAACACAATAGCCAGCATGTGTAGTTCTGGGGGGGCGTTCGATTCCAGTTTTGGATAGTCTGGCGTGGTTTCGTTCCATTTCAAACAGCTGTTTGACGCTCTACTCCAACATCCAATCCCAGAGCTTGAAGATTAATCACGGGGACTGTAGTCCTAAACGATAGCTGGGGATTATGGGTAGTGTAGTGTCTTTGGCCATCCTAAACTCCTACGTCTGTTTCCGGTTATTTTTATTTTGAAATTCAGTTCCTGACGGACGCCAAAAAAGCCCGAGATTATGAAATTAAACCAATACATAAAAGCAAGGATAATTGTGTGTTATTGGTGAGTAAATAACAGTGTGTTATTTTGAAAAGAATAACAAATTAGAAGGAAAAATAACTTGTTTTTATGAACCACACAGCTTCCGGTCTTCCAAGACCCGACCGGAGAAAAAGACGTGCTGCAGGCAGGAAACATATTACCAGTAGAAATACATTGCTTTTAAAATCGTGCTGTGCAACACGAAAAAAAAGGGGGAAATCGTGTTGGTGAACACGAATCAATAGATTAAAAATCGTGTTGGTGAACACGAAATGCCATGAGACTGGGTTGCAAAAGGACACGGTAACGTTGTGATTCACTTCAATTAATGATAACTACGGAGCTTGCTAACAGCAAGGCACAAGGCTACTTCACTCATTTAGCTAATGTAAGATACAAATGTTGTCGAGCCCTCGCTGCTTGTAAAATAAAGAGCACAAACTGACTACTTACCCAAGCCCCACTGTTCTCCGTCATTTTTCTCCCGGGTTGTTGTGATCACATGACTGACAAAGCCTTGCTCTGATAGGCCAGAAGTCGGTTTGATTGCATTCGGGCTCGATTGCTTATCCTGTCTGAGTAGCCCGGATGATGCTGCATCGCCATTTTGGAAGTCGAATTTTATACACCGACATTTTTTACGTCGAATTTTATACACCGAAATTGTGCATTCGAATTTGTTTCACTTGCATTTTTGGGTTCTGAATTTGAACATTCAAATGTTTTTAACTTCAATTTTTACATTTTTATTTCACAAAAAAAATTCAGATACATGATTTTCAAAGTAATTATTTTCAATGCTATAAATTCGGTGTCTAATAAAATTCAAATACTTCTGTCTCTTGTTTGCTTCCATAGGCGTGCCGTACGCACTTCCCTCGCCGGTACGCAATGTTTTGTGAATCGGAAAATGTCTGTACCTATTTTTTTGCTTTGTAAGCAACCTTCCCATGTGAATCCTACGCACAGCGTTATAAATGAGGCCCCAGGTCAGGGCATAAATCCAGCTTCATAAAGACATCATATTGATTTATTCTTATACATACATATACTGTATACACTCAGGTTAGCATATATTTGGTACACTAGGAGCAGCTAAAAACAGATAACTGCAATCAACTTCGTGTCATGAAGAGACTAATGTTCAGTTTTTGCTGGAAATGATTCACAGAGGTGTTAATTCAGCTGATGCTGAAGCTGCTGGTTCTGGAGAATTGTGTTGCAATATACTGAGAGCTGCTTCTGATATTTAGTTTGTTATTTTTGCCTACTTTTAAAGTATTAGTAGAGTTACAGACAGGAACCGAAAGATAGAGAGATGTATGACATTCAACAGGGTCCCCGGCCTGCAGTTATACAGTACGCGTCTTAACCAGCAGGCCATTGGATGACCCAGTCACCCTCACTGATATACACAGAGTGGACAACATATTAGAAAACTGTAATCGTGTAATGGCATAGTCCAGACTCAACAATCACCACAACATTGAACTAACACACTTCTCTTGAACAGTTTTAACCAAACATGAACCCTATTATCTCCATGAAGGCGGATATACTGCAGGGCCTGATAACACTGTATCTGACCTCAGAAGTCTAGCCACTCCGTTTATGTTATCCGTTACCTAGCAATGCACAACTCGTTGGTTCATGTTTTTTGTGGGCATCCAAACGTTTATTTCTAATAATCCACCAGAACCATATTTATTCTCGAAAGCAATGTGCTGGTTCTAGAAAATATAGACTAGGAAGGTTTTTATTTTAACATCTTTGTGTTAAAGAAAAAGCCTTTATAAAAGTGTTAAAACATGTCAGGAAATATCCTCAATAAATATTTTTTAAAGATGTTACTGAAATATACCACATCTCTATGCTGTGAACATCACAACTTTAATTTTGCATAGCTACTTTAACAAAAAGTAATTAAAGAAATGTGTTTCTTTGTTTTTCGGGTGAACCAATCCTTTAAACTTTTACATTTTGTTCGGTTCTCTAAATTCCAAAGTGAGATCCTCTGTAAAAGAAGTGAAGGCGGCAACATGTTCCCCATGTCCTCAGATCAGATCCAGACCTCGGCACTCATCTGTTTGGACTCTCTGATCACCCTCTTGCTCTTCAGTGGCTTCCTCCCCCCTTTCTTAGAATCTTGTCTCTTTGGGGGTTCCGGTCTGGTCTCTCTGACCCCCTCAGCCTCCCTCATCCTGCCACAGTTCACAGCACAGGTCCAGTCAGGCTGGTGACCCACCACCAAGTCCAAAGTGGGCAGAGAGGTGGTGCTGGTCACGTCTCTGAAGCCTAAAGAAGGTGTGAGAAAGGGGCTGTCAGGAGGGAAAGTTTCATAGCCTCTCTTCATACCGGGGCAGACCCCCCAGGACCCCCTCTCCCTCAGCTTCACAGCCTGCCGGATCTTTTTCCAGCCCAGGTGGTTGAGCTCTAACACGTTGAGAATTATACAGAAAACTCCCACACAAAACATAAAGAGCAAGAAGATGGTCTTCTCTGTGGGCCTGGACACGTAGCAGTCCACCGCCTGGCTGCAGGGGGGGGATTTACACAGGAAGTGGACAGGCACCTGGAAGCCAAACAGCTTCCACTGGGCCAGGACGAAGCCCACCTCCAGGACAGCCCGTAAACACACGTGGAAGATGTAACATTTGGACAGAACTCCTCCAGAGACCACTTGAGCCTCCGCACCCCCCTCTCTGAGGGCGCAAGCTTGGGCATGGCTCAAGGGCCCCCTGTTGTTTGGGCCCTCCCTTTGAAGGCTCTGGACGTTGATGCCCTCCAGCACATCTGCCAGGCTGTGACCCAGATGCTTATGAGAGCGGATGGAGCAGCTGTCGGAGTCGCAGCTCCGGTCGTACACTTCCTGTCCGCCACGGCACCCTAAGTCCGGGTCCTCCTGCCCTGGGACCCCGGCTTGTGCAGGCCCCTGCCTCTGGCTGGCGTGGGGCAACTTGGACAGGTTGTGCCAGGTGTAGATGATGAAGCAGAGGGATGGCGTGGACACACTGATGATGTGGAAGACCCAGAAGCGTGGTTGTGAGATGGGAGCGAAGGCGTCGTAGCAGACGGTGGAGCAGCCCGGCTGCAGCGTGTTGCACACGAACATCTCCTGCTCGTCAGTGTACACGTCCTCAGTCGCCACGGCAACGATGAGAAGCCGGAAGATGACCATGACCGTGAGCCACAGGCGACCAATCATGGTGGAGTGCTGGTGGACGGCATCCAGGAGACGTTTGAGCAGGGTCCACTCCGTCATGGTGGCCTGAAAGGAGCAGTTTGATGGGACCGATCCACCTCTGCTCCTCCTGAACCTCTACCCTGTTGGACTCAGAACTTAATCCACCTTGCAGTAAACCTGATCCGGGATACACTCATGATCTACACTGCCTTCTGTCTTACCCTTTCGTCTTACTTCTGATGTCTTAAATTATTCTAATATCTGAGGCCCTTGCGTTACCCTGCTTTCCGTCTGAATGTCCTCCAGCACTGCCTGGCTGCCTTCAGAGCCGTGGAGCCATGGCAAGAGGGAGCCAACCCATCTTTCACAGATAAGGATGTCCACTTGACATGAGTCACTTGGCACGCTCAGTTCCCTCTTGTCTTTAGGATCCATTTTAAAACCGTTAGACATCAGCCTTCCTCTGCTGGAGGACCTGCTGATAGTGCCAGCTGATAGAGCGCTCTTCACAAGGCTGTCCTCTGAAAGCACACGGGCTCTTCCTTTAATGGAGAGGCATGTTTTAAATGACGACTGGTACAGGAGAGCAAGTTCTCCTCAGATTCTGGATAGCACATACAGAACGCTGTTAAAGACAGCATGATGTTGGTGTCAGGATACACGGCTGAGCAAACTCATTAAGAAATCTGATTTGGAAACAATTTGACTTTGCAGACAGTCTGGTGAGGACTTCTGAACCGAGGCTTGTTTTGACTGCTCCTCTCCAGCCACTTGCCAATTCTCTTATCTGTGTTTTAAAAAAAGACCCTTGAAAGGTCTGTTAGCATCAAATCGTCCCCAGATAGAACACTGAGTGACCCCCCCCCTTACTTCAAACAGCCGGATGAGTCTCAGAGCTCTGCCCACCTTCTATTTATGACATGAACAGAATCATTTGGTGCAGCGTTAGTTTCAACCGTTAGACATTTAGAGAACAAAAGTAATAAACTGCTCACCCTGACCAATCACTGCCTGCCATTAGCAATCATGTTTTATATCCTAACACATGTTTCGGAGCTTTAACATCAACACTGTGTACTCTGTGTCAAACACAGCATGTTAATAAACCTCAGTATAAAAATATAACGTATTAAAGTGCTATGCAACTTTTGTTATCTGCGTAGTCCTTCGAAAAGGTAACACAAACGGAACTTTACGTGTCCCTCAGATAGATTTTACACCTACATAATAAATATGTATGTTCACTATCCATATTTTGTCAATGTTTGGTATTCTCACCCAAGACTTGTCGAGGAGATAAAGGACGTCACACTGCTGACTGGATGTACTTGATCTGCTTATCTAAAGAAACCTCAGTGACAGTGTCATCCACCGCAGGATTGAAACAAATTCTAGAGACATGTTCATTCAATATTTCATCTCTGAATTTGGGAATAAACATATTAGTTCTCATTTTCAATAAGCAATTTTTTTTTGTCAAAACAATAGCCTTGAATGTTTTTTGAAAGGATGACAGAAAATATATACAAATCAATATTTTTTATTTAAGACTATTCCAAAATACAGAACATGCAACAAGACATTTTAAGACAACACTGAATCTAATCCCCTCCCAGGTTCAGCCCTCCGTTTAAACCCAGCCCCTCTTCATGCTTGTTTTTATTTTCAGCACATATAACAGTTAATATGATAGTCACAATGGCATTTTGATGTCAGACAGAGGCAGCGTCTCACTGTTAGCGCTCCGCTGTGGCTCATTGAGCTGATGCTAACACCACGTCTGACTCTTGAACAGACAACACTTTACATTGGAACACAACAACATGAAGCCAGGAAATGAAAGAAACACTCCTCAGCCGTGGGTGTAAAACTAGCCTACTTTACTGAGTGGTAAGCCAGGCCTGATGACATGGAAACAGATAGTTCACTCCAGAGCTCAGTGTTGGCTGAAGCTGCTCTGAGAACAGTAATGTCAGCACATTGAAATGAACCATGAACAGTCAGTTGTCCTCCTGTCCTGCGCTCGTCCTGTAGTTCTTACGCTTGGTCTTCCTGAAGGAGGGGACGTCCTCCCCTTCCTGCACACCTTTCTGAACCTTCTTCTTCTCCTCCTCTGCCCCCCCCACAGCTGCCCTTGTGTCTTTTTCCTCAGCATTTCCTCCCCTCTGCTCGGTTCTCCTTGCTTCAGCCATTTCTTTCTCTTCTACGGCATCCTCTTCCTCCAGATGACTGAGGCGTGTGTCCTTCTTCCTGCACTCCTCTTCCTCCAGGAGCCGGAGGCGGGCCTCCTTATCTCTGCCTGTAGCAGCTGTGGGTGGATCTGCAGGTTGTTCCTTCAGCCCGCTGGGTCTGGAGAAGACCATCTTGTGTTGGAGGTTTGAGTCCCCAGCACTCTCCTGCGGCTCCTTGCTCTGCTGCAGGCTGGACAGGAAGTTGTGGGCGGCCCTGGTGTTGCCCTGCTCGCTGGTCTCCGTCACATCCTCCAGGCTGTAGCGGGTCCAGCGCTCAGGGTGCACCAGGTAGTCGGGGACTCCTCTCTTCTTCGCTGGTGTGGGGGAGCTGGGCGCAGGCTGACTCGTCTTCCTGCTGGGAGGTGGAGGCAGAGGACGGGCGAACACTCCGTCTGAAACGGGGCGGTGGTTCTGAGAGGAGGAGGAAGAGGAGGAGGAAGAAGAAGAGGCGGAGGAGGAGGCGAGGCGGGCCACACTGTCCAGACATTCAAAGATGCTGTGGCTGCGGTTTGAGAACGCCGAGCCCCCTCCTCTCAGACTGAATGGACTCTGAACGAGGCGTCCAGCAGGAGGAGCAGAGAGCACAACCTCCCCCCCATCATCATCATCATCATCATCGTCGTCCAGCTCGGGGTCAAACGGAGCACTGCTGAGTCCTCCTTCAGGCTCAGATTCATCACTGGCAGACAGCTCGTCTAAGTCATCCTCGTGGTCACCGCCATTTTTCTGATCACTCATCTCAACTGCAAGGCTCGACTACATCAAAGACCTGCGGAGAGGGAAAGAGGTCAAACTCGAGCAGCAACCATAGGTGAGGAGTGGTGCGTTCATAGTGAAGCAGGGTCACTAACAGCACACATCTAAGCTGACTCCGTTTCTAATATGCAAAAAGACTGCAAACGTGCGTCTATGATTCTTTTTAGTATTTTCGATCTTTCAAATCCAGACGAGAGATCTCTCTCTCCCGTCTGTGTGCGAAGGGGCGGGACAGTTTACACATACGCAGCTGCTACATGCAGCACACACACAGCTGCTACATGCAGCAACACACACAGCTGCTACATGCAGCAACACACACGGTGGAGAGAACGCGCTCCGAGGTGTGGTTAAACTTTACCCGTCTCGATGTGGAGAATGCTCGTTACCAAAAGACAGGCATAGCTCTGTGCCTTGTCTTTTTCTTTCTTAGTGTAGTGGAGCCTCACTTCAGAGCGTTTACCGCGACCCATCTTTGGTGTTATGAAGTGACTGAGCTCGTGAACTGTCTACTGGAGGGCGGGGGAGCCTCGCTGCGGGGCAACTGTGGACCTCTGTCGCCGCAACTTACATGATGCCGTTTAAAAAATTAAGGGCGGTGCCGGCCGTCAACGGCCCGCTGACGAACGGCCGTTCTGTGATTCTCCAGAACACACAGATGGCCAGTCCCTGTATTCCACCGGGTCACCGCGGCACAGACGGACCCGCTGGAATACAGGGTCTACCGCATTTAGGAACCGTTAAGCAGAACCAAAATTGTGTATTTTGTATGGGTACTAGGGGTGTAACGGTTCACAAACATTTCGGTTCGGTACGTACCTCGGTTTTTTGGTCACGGTTCGGTTCGGTACAGCAGAATTTTTTTTCACAAAACAAAACATATATATATATTTTTTTTTTAATTATTATTAAACTGTGAATAATGTATTCACTCAAATAAATACAAAATATAATAAAATACATATTAAGGTGCAGCATTTCGATGAACTGAAATAATCTGTATTTGAACTTTACTGTAGGCTACTAGTACTCACAAAACATAAACTATTAGTTTTGGGTTTTTTATTTTTTATTAAACTGTGAATCTTCACTCAAAAAAATATAAAATAAACATTAAGGTGCAGCTTTTCGATGAACTGAAATAATCTGTATTTGAACTGTACTGTACTAGTTCCTAAGCAGCCAGTTTGACATTAGGACTTGCTTGTCATTGTATTTTCATGTTTTTTTAAAGAAAAATTAACTTGTCCACATTGCAACTAACAATGTCTCCTGCTGTGGAGAACACCCTCTCTCTAGGGACAGAGGTAGCAGATACAGCCAGGTAGCGCTTTGCTAACATGGAAACATAAGGATATTTGGCGTTTGTAATAGCTTTGGCTCGGTCTGAACTCTCTGCGAGTGGTGGAGGCTTACATGCTAGTGGGAGTTGGGTTTGCACTTCAGTCTTTTTTCTTTTGGTACCGGTGATATTCACGTTCGGGTGATGCCTTTTCAAGAGTGTGCAAGTTTGATGTATTGCCAGCCACGTAACCAATTTTAGTTGAACAATGCCGACAAACAGCTTTGGTTCGGTCCACCTGTCTTTGTCCGTCATCCTTGTTCGTAACTGCGAAACCAAAATGTTCCCAAACCGGAGACTTCAATGATGCTGGAGGATTTTCGAGCTCAACTTTATCTGCGTTCGCCATTAATTTTCGACAGTTCCTCAAATTACTGACTACATTTGAACGCATCCCTCTGACCAGCTCTCATAGTATGCCTCTCATCCAATGAAATGACTTGCTCGCTCTATGACGCGTTGAACCCAATGTGAGCAAATTACTCTGAATGCTGCAACACAGCACCTGAGATTACTTCCAAAAAGTTGTTCACGTTCTCAATTTTTTACGTTTAACGTTATATTCGTTCGGTACACACCTGTACCGAACCGAAGGGCCCGTACCGAATTATTTCGGTACGGGTACGTGTACCGTTACATCCCTAATGGGTACCCGGCATTTTCTTATCGGTTCTCATCTGGAACCGAGTTTCGGTTCCCAACCGTAGCGGTAGCACGAGCAATTTGTCTAAACATTTAGCAAAAGTGCACCGCATGCAGACGGAGGAATGCACCGGGTTCCACTGTCTTTCTAGCAGCTCTGTAGCCCCATCCACGAGTAACGTTTCCACGTCAGGTGTTATGTATGCTAGCAGCAACACACGGAGTTAACTACATGATACAAACATGGGTTAATGATTAGAGGAAACTGAGTTATTTAGTTTGTTAAAGTTTCAGCTATTCTCTTTACAGTTCTGTCATCACATTATTTAATACGATTTGTTAAAACATTGTTGGTTCTTTTGATGTGAAATATTATGTATTTAATTTAAATAAAAAACAATGTTAATTTTGTTCACAATTTGTTTAGTTAGTTTACCTTATTATTCTCTCCAAAAGAACCGATAAGAGTACCGTTAAAAGACCGGATTGATAAGCGGTATCGATAAAAGTAGTAGAACCGTTAAAACCTTAACGATAGCCTGGTGTACTGTGAAGAGTGTGTGTGCATCATACCATGCTGGTGCTGCTGTTGTAGAGTCCATGTTGTCTCTGTGGTGTGCAGAATCACTGGCTCTTTATGAAACGCACTGCCACTCTGTGTCTGATCAATCTGAGATTCAAAGCAAGAACATGAGAAGCCTTCAATAAGCAACACACAATGAAATAAATATTTCCCCCCTCACACTGCATTATAGACAGGAAAACACCTGCAAATAAGTAAGTAGGGATCCACCACACCCCTCAACTTTTTTTAGCTGATTTGAAATGTTCTTCCAAGACATATTTGGATTATACATATACGATTCAAAGGTTGTATTGATACATGCACTACAGTGTAGTTATGGACATGAAAATCATCCCAGGCTCCTCCAACAATGCAACATACATATATATAAGAATAAACCATAGAAAAACACAAATACAATACAAACTGAAATAGAGTGGGTTTGTGTATCCTTCTGTGTGCATTCAGTAGGAGACGCATCTGACCCCATAGTGAATAGGCGTCCCTGCTTCTGATGACCTTACAGGACTTAAGATAAACAGGAAGCATCGTTCCTTTGTGTCGATGGCTGAACGAAATTCACCGATGCAAACAAGCCACACATGAAAACAGTTACGTACAAGACATTACGTGAGATGTATTTGTTTGGAAGTGTTTTCCATTCGTGTTTTACTTCAACCCGAGGAGAAACAGAAGTATGGAGACTGAGCTTCTGCAGCCGCGTGTGGTCCATCCGGAGAGACACGGGCTCTGGGGGCTAACGGTTAGCTTCAACATGTACACACGGTTTTAGTGCCACCATTAATGAAATGTATAAATGATGGGTGCAACATCCAAGAATACAAAGTGAAACTGGGAAACGGATATGGCTTATTTGATACGGCGTGTACCATTAACGTTGGTTGAACGAACAACGACTCGTTAGCATGCTAATGCTAACTGATGTGGTAGGTTCCCTTTAGGTGCGTGGCTTGGCAGCAACTCCACATATTGTTCTCACAGACTTATCCTTTACACCAACATACATCTGGGTTAATTTATAGATTTACCTCACTGCTGTTGTCACGAAAAACCGGTAGTGTTTCGTGCTTCTTATTTGTCTTCCTTTCTTCTTCTTCTTCTTTGGTGTTTAACGGCAGCCGGTATCCGGTATGTTGCACTGCTGCCACCTTCTGGAACAAATGTATGCTGCAACTGACTGCCAATCAAATAAAGAAAGTGCAATTCAAAAAGAACAATATGTATTGTCAATTAATTGAACTATACAGATATACAGTAAAATACCGTGGATGTGTAATGTTCCTCTCGGGCTGCATTTACAAATAAAATAGAGAAAATAAATAAAATAGCTTTTGAAAATATGTGCATCTTAAAAGTGCTTAATTTTAGATAAATAAAATAAAGTGTAGCAGCAGCTTGAGTTTCCATTTTTCTTTGTTAACCGTTTCACATCATTTCAGCCGATTATAGAACAATATCAGTCTTTACATCATAGCAATTGAACAGTTTTAAAGTTTCTCTTTCTTTCCCTCTTATATTGCAGTCCCTCACTCACTTTTTTTTAATTCAGTGCGAGAATTGAGCTTGAGCTTGTCCTGCCAGGAGTTTAAATCTGGGCTGAAATGCAGTCAGGGCCATTCTCATACACACATGCAGGTGCTCATTGGTTAGCCTGGACCGATATTTAGTTTTAATTTTGATCCTGGTGGACTGATCATATGAGACTCTGAGACTGCTTATTTGACCTCAGTTCTGACTTGAGAGGGAATGTTTGGACAAACACTTTGTGTTTTGTCTCATCGTGGTGTTTCACATTGGCACTTTTAATGAGCGCCACGGTCTCTGAACAAATGAGACACACTGGTGTTGTGAACATGAATGAGTCCGTCCATTAATTAATGTTAGCATCTGTGCTTAGCTGTAAACACAGTCGGATGGGTGACCAAAACGTCCCCGTTTTCGATGGCTGGGACCCGGTTGAAACTCCCATTTTTGAATGTGCGTTAAAAAACTTAGAGCAGGTGAAATCAAATGTTACATGTCAGTAAAAACAGAGTAACAGTGTTGTGCTTGTTTGTAGCGTTAGCGTATTTCTTCTTCTACTACTTCTTCTTCTACAGTACCTCTACTTCTTCTACTTCTAATTCAATGTAACTGTAACATTTATGTTCTCAATCGCTAAGTGCGGGATTGAATATTAAATTAGTTTAGATTAGATTGATTGTCCCCAGGGGGAAATTCATGTTCACAGCTCTGTGAAAACAATATGAAATCAACAACAAATAAGACAGACCACTACAGATAGCACCACACATGATGGTTACTTGTTATTATTTAAGGCTGCCTGTATGGATCAGGTTTTTGCCAAGGCGATAATAATATGTTATGTATTATATAAACCATATTGGTACAATGAGTGACATCTAGTGACGGATTCTGGAACATTGATTTGATTTTTCTCATGGCAGTTAGACTCCTATATATATTAGTCACTTTCTTATGAAATGCCAGGTTTCAGGCCTTGGTTTGAACATTCAATCCTGAAAATAAAAAAT